GAACTCGGGTTAACAAGGTTTGCAACAAGCCACTGCACATCATTACTCCTAACCTGTTTAGAGAGTCATAAGACCACTTGCTGACAAGCCTATAGAGTGAGCTCAGACCAAATTGTGTGGGAATTCTACCTCCATTATTTATGTAAAGAAGAGAACACATCAGCTATTATACTGCAGACAGATGAGTTCTTATGATTGAACTTAGCTTAAGAATGCACAATTATAAAAAATATTTAACTATTTAAAGTGTCATCTACTAATACTACTTTGTATATACTGCATCCAAATAAGCCTTTATGACTTCACGCCTGTGTGACCATTTCAAACAAAACTGTCATCTGTATTGTTTCTAGAAACACTATTCAGTTTACTGCAACACAAACCGAAGCTATTCGTGCGGGAATGCAGCCTGGCCTGACCATGGTAGGAAAAATCACCTAATAACTAATGAGATAGAGTGTATGAACATACTAACATAAATATGTACAGAGTGCACTGACTGTCATGTACAAGTCTCAATAACAAACTTAAGCACATGTATTTAGGACATCAGTAAGCCTAGAGAAACCAACTTCATGGACTGGAATGTAAATGACACTTGCTCTTGAAAAAGCGACAAAATTGTATATGCAGTCCAAAGGATTCATCTGTATGATGCACACATCTACACACATCTAGAAGCTTCAGACTGAGGTGGAATTTACTCTATGGTCACTTTTCTAATGGACAGTTCATGAAGTGAGAGAACTGCAATGTGTGTAAGGACATTATATAGACGCAGTAGAAGGGGGTTGAGCATGGACTTGGGTATGTTCATTTATATGATTTGTCTTTCACACAATCTTGTGATGAGGACTTTCCAGAGACAGTGTTCACTTTCTTCTGTTTACATCTGTACATCATTACTATATGAAGGCGGAAGTGACTGGTGATATAAGTTCAGTAGCTGTATGGTGCTGCCGCGCTCTGTTGTGTTTCACACGGAGCTATTACATCCATCTGCTGAGTCTGTTTCTTTTCACTGTGACTGTAAACACAGGTGCATATGCGTAAAATCCACATCTCTGCTTCCTGCCCCAGCAAAATAAAGTGTCTGACAGGATGCAGTTACACATCGTCCCCCGTAGAGGGAGGTGTAATATAGCAGTTTACCACATACACTGTGCTATATGCCATATTCTGTGCTGCTTATGTATACATCTACGGCCAGCGTTCATACAAGAGATAGCAAAGTAACACACACATCCATGGAGAATTAATATTGTACTAACGCAGGAAATTTGCATAGCAAATGTACCTTACGTTGGGAAATGGTACACAGTTGTTGTATAGAAGCATCCAGCAAGATGGAGATCATGGCACATTTGAAAACCAGTCAATATTCTGTATTGGTGTGAAGCATATTAGGTGTTTAAGCTGGTGTCAGTATGTCCTGATAACTAACAGATAGTTCTACACTGCATGGAATAAAGCAATCAAGCCAAGTGTGTCGGCTCTCATGCTCTAATCCACCTTAGAGAAATGATATCAGGAATAGTGATGGGCTCGGGCGTGTTCGCAGCTCCATGTGCCGAGCCCGCCAGGAAGCTGACAGTGCCGCAGCGCCAGTACTCCCGACATCGCTTTGCCTCCTGATTTGGTACCACGCTGCCCGCATGTTACCGACCTGGCCTGTTCCCGACTTTGCTCCTGCTCCGTACACCAGTGCTGCCTGATCTGCTAGCAGCCGCCAGCTACCTCTGGCACCCAATCGTCAGCACCATCATCTCCAGTGTGTCAACTTCCGCACCAGCCACAGGCACTCGTGCCCCTCTCTGTCTGTACAACTGCTGTCTGGTTGCCTCCAGTGGGGATCAGACGAGAGCTGCAAACAATCTCTACCACAATTTTCCAGAGCAGAGGACTCTTATAGTCACCCATTCCAACCAGGTAAGGCTTCGACTGCAACAGGAAAGAATCCACTTGCCAGAGTACCATCCATTTATTGTGCTTGGGCTATCTGTCATTGGTTTAATCAGGGGAAGAGAGATCTACCTATGCTAAATTAGTAAAGCCACCAGAGTTTCCAGACTTGAACCTATGTGTTCATTACTCTGGGGAAAGGTCGGTAATCTACACACTTGGAGATATCGGTGCTACTGCCCAATATGATTGATTGGAGGCTTGTTTCTGCCCTGTCTGATTATCACTTACAATGTATAATAATGCAATATCTCCTGAGGGAGGAAGGCATACCAATCCTGGGCACATAATGTCAGGGGACCCAGCAGTGACTTCTGCTACACACTCCAATAAAGAAAACAGCGCTGTTCTAGGTCGGGGTTGTTGTACAGAATTGTGCAGTCATTCATAGGAGTAAAGTTTCTTCTAAGTGTGAGCAGCATTGCCTGTGGAAGCTTTCCAGTCATTTGATCCTGGTGTGCTGTCTGGATACTGCACTGTGTGTTTAGATCATGGCTTTCCATGGTATGTCTAGCTCTCTGTCTTAGTGTAATATTTGTTTTTACCCCCTGTGATCTCAGGTTCCAGCCCCCACCTCTCTGCTAATGTCCCATATGTTCTATTCTGCCCATAAGAGGGATAAATAGTTCGCCTCCCATTGCTAGCTGTTCCCGTACACATCACTAGCCTAATTCTTACTGTCCACAACCAGCTTTATTATTGCTATGCAGCAGTTTTGGTTACTGCGGGTTCAGATTAAATATGCAGCCTCTGAATTACCATTTCATTCCACACTGAAGGAAAGATGTGTGTTGTAATGGTCTGATTCTGGTTCATATTTACCTTGTGTAAATGGAGCTGGGCTGTATATTCTTTCGGCATCTATTCCGTTATTGCTGTACTGCATTTGGTATGGTCAAATGTAACCCTTTGCTGCCAGAGACTTTTTTGCACGCGTTAAAATGCGCATTTTAGGCCTGAAGGTTTCTTTAAAATCCCCTAGAATGATGTATTTCCTGAAAACAGAGACCCTGTAGAATAAAATATTGCACTTTTTTATATTGCATGATATTAGTGCAACTGATTAAGTACACTTAGGGGTCTGTCAACCAGTCTGCTTTAGAAATGTAAAGACTTGTACGGCCCCACAGCAAAAGGGTTAAAGCAGACCTCTACTTGTTCCAGGTCTACATATTTCTCATGACAGGCTTCTTTTATGGTACAGATATGCTTGAAATAGATATTGCCACTTTGTGCAGACAGCCAAAATCACATAGTGACTAATGATGGACAAATCTGCCTTCGCAGAGAGAGTTTCTGCTTTGAAGTGTAGTAAACCCACATTTTTCTGTGAATCCCATTGAAATCTATCTAATCTAGTTTGTTTACATGTCGCGGCTGCCACCACCATAATTGTTATGTCTGATTTATTTCCAGGCTTTTTAGGTAGTTTTGGCTGCAACACCTGATTTATATCAAATGGTAATAGGCCTGAATTGACTGATGGAACTAGCGGCCACAGCAGATCTAGAAGCTATAGGAATATAATAGTATAGTTTGTGAGATTCTTTTTTTGTCGCAGTTCCACACTGCATTGTCTTAATAGTGCACACAACACTTAAAAACCACAGTCAAACGTGACCCCTATCCCGGCATCCCCAGTTATTCCCCAAATATTCAAAATATAGATATCAGGTATGGGTTTGGTAGAAAATTGTGACAGGAAAGTACCCGGGCACTTGAGTAGGCAGTAAATAAAGCAAGACAACAAATATTTTATAGTGGCTGGACAGTATGTAACGCTGAGGTGTAACACAGAGTTTAACCTGCAACAAACATGAGAAACTTTGCAGCTGAGGTCATGCTGTGGAAACATTGTATGGCATCTTCACAGTGCTGGAATACCAGAATAGATTGCAAACGCTACAGTTCAATGCTGAATTTATCAGGCAACAGACATTAAACATTTTGCAGCCGAGGTCAAGCTATGGAAAGATTGTGCGTCACTTCCTGTAGCACTGGAATAGGCCAGAAGAGGTAACATGAGCTGGTCATTGTGGCAGGAATGAATTTTGTTTAGTTTTTTTGATGGCCTCGATGACACCGGAAATTTTAGTCTGTAGGATGAGCAGCAGAGGTTTTGTAGTCTGGGGCTGGTTCATTTTAATGCAATTGAGCCAATCAACACTGTGAGGGGTAGGCAGATTTGCCTCTCTGTAACAAAAAAGTTTGCTGCACCTTCAGTAGTGCAAACCAGAAGCTTCGGTGCGTACTGTGCAAGCTCCTGTCAGTGGTTCATCCTGGACACCCAATATTTGATGGGGTCCTCACTTCTGAGAGTATCTGTGTTAGCCCTGGACACGCTGTAGCCTGCAAACATCAAGCACTGTCTGATTGCTGCCTGCAGCTTGGGCCTGGCCACTGTGGTGTTTTAAAAACTCTGAAAACAGTGCTGAGATGGCCACTGTCACTGCTGCTTGTCCTTTCAGGAATCAGCGTTTTGCAGGTATATTGGTCATTAGAGAAGATCCTGGCACCATCAGGAAATGCAGCAAAGAGGTTGCTACAAGGCATCTCTTAAAAGTGCTGCATTTTGGGCTCCCTCTGGGATGGTGGCAGGAGATCGGCCCTTGTACCGGGCATCTAAAAGGGTGGCCCCCCCAATGGTGGTCTCCGAAGACCTCAAATCCTTGGTGTTTGCTAAGGAAAACACTGCCCTTAATACTCTCACTCCACCCATATGTAGCACACAGGGTTTGGGAGGGGTGAAACATCCCCCTTGAAGACTGCCCCATTACCTCCTTGCCATCAGCACCTCAACCATACTACCCACCCATATTCCTTTTCAACCACCTGTTGCCTCTGCCTAATGGGTGCAGACAGTAGTAGGCAAAGACTTCTGCTGGCCCAGAAAAGTAGCAAGTCCTCCTCCTGCTGCTGTGCCTCTGTTGCCTGGTCTATAAGGCCGGAAAGTGTGCTCTCCAGTAAACACATGAAAGGGCTTTGTATCATTAATCCTCGCTTCGCTAGGGCTCACCAAATCAAAAGGTGCCATTTTGCTGCTTGCACCCTGAATGACAGGCCCATTGACACAGTAAAAAAAAAAAAAACCCAGCTCCCCAGAGCCTGTCCTCATACCATTAATGCACAGGTGATGATGGCAATCTGCTGCACCTTTCAAATAATGCCCAAAGTGAGTTTCATCAGATGAGGCAGTTGGCAGGCAGCTAATGTTGGCACTGTATTTCTGTCAGGCAAGTCATGGCTGAGTATGACCACCTAAAGTGGGGCACGCACCCTTCTGGCCTGACAAAGGACCTTCTAGAAGTCCGGGTACTTCATGAAGAACCGCTGCACCACCAGGTTGCGGACATGTGCCTGAAAAATGCATGGATAGTTATTTTTTTTTTTACCAGGCCAAGAACAGACACAAGGTTAATGCCATTGTCACACACAACATTGTCTGACTCCATATAGTGTGAGGGCAGCCACCTCTCAGATTGGGTTTAGCAGAAGAGGAGATAGAAAAGTTTGCATTAAAAGAGAACTATGACCCATACTAATGTCCTCCTGTGACCCAAAACTCAGCATATAGCGGGTTATTTGGTGGTGTGTGTGTGGGGGGGGGGTGAATTCCCACGGGGAGCCATGAGTGACGGTCACCGCTCTTTGCAGGGAGATGATCGGAACTAAGCAATCGGCGGTATATGATCGCTCAGTTCTCAATCTATAGAGCCGACATGTGAAAGCTTCAGTGTCGCCCGTCGTCTCTAATTATGGGGGGGAGTGTATTTGACTCTCCCCATAATCCTCCTTTAAGTACACTTGCAGACAAGTGGGTGCTCTGCAACTCGGTGTAGGAGCAAGAAAATGGCTTTGTCAGCCAGCCTTCTACCTCCTACGCCTGCTGAGGGTGTATATCATGGCCACTCTGTGATAGAAAAGTATGATAATTTCAGGGGGACTTAATTCTGAGATGCATAGAAAGGCATTGCAATGTATTGAGTGTAGTCAGAAGACAATATTATTTGACTGTCTGTGACTCCCTTACTTTGTATTCCCTTTCATGGAGAACCGGGTGAATCTCGGCAGCAGGGACATACAGAGGTTCTCACCCGTCCATACTCTATTATAAAGGGTTGTTATCTCCTGTGATTCCACTAACTTATTTTCTTGATGGCCCCAAAGGACCAATGGTAGGTTCAGGGAAGACTGATATGTGGCTTTACGGAGGATAACCGTGTGCAGATTCAGTTGTCCGGGTTTTGACATGTTCATTTTATAACAAAGATGCAGTTTGGTATAACTGACCTCTGTTTCTGAAATGCTCTTTGGTTGGCTGTCACACTTGTTTGGTGCTTTCTTGGATCGGGAAGCTGTAACTTCCATTGATATTACTTGCTGCTTTACTGGTTTTGGATCAATAACTTGGAAGGTGCTAAGGAGGTCTGTAATGGCAGAATACACATTTCTCTTAGTACCAGTTTCATTTTAAATGACTGCTATCTAGAGAGAAATATGGAAGCTGCTATTGCTGACCTCTCCTGAAATCACTGCCTTTCATGCTAATCTCTGGTTTTAGGAGTCACTGACCCAGAACAATTATGTAGTTCAGGAGTTCTGACTTGCCTAGTCTGCACGCTTGTTCCAGGTTCAAATATTAAAGCCACTGCATGAGCCTGAGAACCAGGATACTAGCATTTCATATGGAGGGGAGCAGATACTAGAGAGAGGGTGGGCATGCAAAAAGATATTCAGATAAACCTGCACAATCAGATCAGTTAACCTTTACAAGGTGAATAAACAGTATTGAATAGGTAGAAAAATCCATGGCAGCCAATCAATTACTTGCCTCAAGAGAGGACAGTCAGGGGGAAGGTAGAGGAATGTGCCCAGACACATGGTTATTGCTTGAATCCTGCCTGATAAAGAAGCTACAAACAACAAGACCACATCATATTATCACTGCAGTTTCAGCAGGTCAGGACCACAATTGGGTCGAATTTTTCAGCTGATTTCCCTTTATTCCCATGTTCTAGAAACAAACAAGCTTTCCTCTCTGTCTTTGTGTATGTGCACAAGGGGAACAAGAGCGGTGTCATAGTTGTGTTTTGTGCTGTAAAATACATGAGGCGATCCGGGCTATCCTAGTCAATGACTCTTTCTTATCACCACATTTTATCCTGTGCGTTTTTTTTTTTGTTTTTCCTCCAAGCAGAAAAAAAATGTCTTTCCATTGGAGATATTTGGAAGTGCATGTAAAACCCACTCTCCATGAATTTAAATGTATGCAGCGGATCACAAAATACAAAGAAGGGAATTTATCCAACTTGGAGCGGAGGAAATCTGGAGCAGCTGTGCATGGGAACCAATCGTCATCTCACTTTCATTTGCAAATCTTAACTGAACAAACTAAAGAGAGAAGCTGATTGATTGCCATGGACAACTGCTTCAGATTCTGTCTGCTCCAGTTATGATAAATCCCCCCCAGAGAGTATCCTTCCTGCTAGAAACTACAGAAAAATATTTACAACTGCATAAAAATGTGTTCTGATGCATCCCAATACATGGAAAATACAGACACACATGGCTTTACCTGCAAAGGTCTAAATGAGCTCTAAATCTTTATGGTTAGTCTGCTAATCAACAGAACTCCACGGAAGTTACTACTTCTGCTCCGGCTCTCGTGTATGGGTAACGTATTCATGTTTTTGAAGTGCTGCAAAGTGCGGTCTGTTGTGTCTTGCTGCATTGTCCGCTTGCTGTTTTCAGTCTGTAGCCGCCAACCCCCCTTTTTTCCTAGAACATCAACCAGCAGTTTCTAAATACCCTTCTCCTCCTGTCCCTATTAATCTACAGGCCCTCAACCAGCTGTTTGAGAAGATTATGGCTCTAGATATTGACGAGAGGCACCTCCTGCGTCTGGGCCATGGTGAGGAGGCGCTGGAGACTGAGAAGGATTTTAGCAGGTGAGCTACAACTTGGATCCCTGGTTAACCTTCTAACTTCCAACGTCCTTAATAATTATTTTATTAACTCCAGAAGATTATAGATTCTGCACTGCTTGTAAATTCTTTCAAAACAGCATCTTAACAAATTCCGGTGTAAATGATACTGATGGGTAAACATTGTTTTACATAGCCCAATAATACAATTGAAAACAGTTGTATACACTGACTATGTGAAATGTTTTTAAGTGCCATTCCCCTCAGGCGCTAGCTAGAAGCCATCTCTTGCAATGTACAGTGAGTACACCCCTCACATTTTTGTAAATATCTTATGATATCATTTCATGTGACGACACAGAAGAAATGACACTTTGCTACAATGTAAAGTAGTGCGTGTACAGGTTGTATATCAGTGTACATTTGCTGTCCCCTCAAAATAACTCAACACACAGCCATTAATGTCTAAACCACTGGCAACAAAAGTGAGTACACCCCTAAGTGAAAATTTCCAATTTGGGCCCAAAGTGTCGATATTTTGTGTGGCCACCATTATTTTCCAGCACTGCCTTAACCCTCTTGGGCATGGAGTTCACCAGATCTTCACAGGTTGCCACTGGAGTCCTCTTCCATTCAATGACGACATCACGGAGCTAGTGGATGTTAGAGACCTTGCGCTCCTCCACCTTCCGTTTGAGGATGCTCCTCAGATGCTCAATAGGGTTTAGGTCTGGAGACATGCTTGGCTAGTCCATCACCTTTAACATCAGTTTCTTTAGCAAGGCAGTGGTCGTCTTGGAGGTGTTTTTGGAGTCGTTATCATGTTGGAATACTGCCCTGCGGCCCAGTCTCCGAAGGGAGGGGATCATACTCTGCTTCAGTATGTCACAGTACATGTTGGCATTCATGGTTCCCTCAATGAACTGTAGCTCCCCAGTGCCGGCAGCACTCATGCAACCCCAGACCATGACACTCCCACCACCACCACGCTTGACTGTAGGCAAGACACACTTGTCTTTGTACTCCACCTGGTTGCTGCCACACACGCTTGACACCGTCTGAACCAAATAAGTTTATCTTGGTCTCATCAGACCACAGGACCTGGTTCCAGTATTCCATGTCCTTAGTCTGCTTGTCTTCAGCAAACTGTTTGCAGGCTTTCTTGTGCATCATCTTTAGAAGAGGCTTCCTTCTGAGACGACAGCCATGCAGACCAATTTGATGCAATGTGCGGCGTATGGACCCCCCACCCCTTCAACCTCTGCAGCAATGCTGGCAGCACTCATACGTGTATTTCCCAAAGACAACCTCTGGATATGACGCTGAGCATGTGCACTCAACTTCTTTGGTCTGAGTGGAACCTGTCCTGTTAAACCTCTGTATGGCCTTGGCCACCGTGCTGCAGCTCAGTTTCAGGGTCTTGGCAATCTTCTTATAGCCTAGGCCATCTTTATGTAGAGTAACAATTCTTTTTTTCAGATCCTCTGAGAGTTCTTTGCCACGAGGTGCCATGTTGAACTTCGGGTGACCAGTATGAGAGAGTGAGAGCGATAACACCAAATTTAACACACCTGCTCCCCATTCACACCTGAGACCTTGTAACACTAACGAGTCACATGACACCGGGGAGGGAAAATGGCTAATTGGGCCCAATTTGGACATTTTCACTTAGGGGTGTACTCACTTTTGTTGCCAGCGGTTTAGACATTAATGGCTGTGTGTTGAGTTATTTTGAGGGGACAGCAAATGTACACTGATATACAAGCTGTACACTCACTACTTTACATTGTAGCAAAGTGTCATTTCTTCTGTGTCGTCACATGAAATGATTTAATAAAATATTTACAAAATTGTGAAGGGTGTACTCACTTCTGTGAGATACTGTATATTATTCAGACACCGAAAAGGTGACTTTCGATTGCTTGCTGGGTATTGCTGCATATCCTTGCACTTTATATCCCTGTAAAGTCCGTATGCAGAGACTGGTCTCAGTGGCATATGAAAACTCAGATTACTGTCTCACTGAATAAAGCCAGAGAGAAGTTTGTGACCAAATAAAGACACCAAAGCACAAGGTCAGAGATGCTTCATAGGACATTCCTGGGTGACATTATCTGCATTAGGTGTGCTATGCCTTGCCATAACTCGCCTGCTAGTCTTATTCGTTTGCAGTTAAAATACAAGTCCAGTGTAAATCTGGTGTGCAAGAGGGCTCAAAGAGACTAAAGGTGCCCATACACTATGCGATTATCGCACGATAATCGTGGGAGATGTCTAAGGAGCATGTTCGAAAACCAGCCGAAAATCCTCAGGGGGGCGGGCTTGCAATGATCGCAAGTACGATCTGCCTGTCCAAGATGGGCAGATCGTAAGTTTTTTTAAAGTACTTTACAACCCTCGCAAGACAAAAGTCTTGCTAGGGTTGTAAAGTGTATGGGCACCTTAAGGCTTGCTTCACGCATTGCCACTTGAGTTTTTATGCAGAGATCTGCTTGCTAGATGGTCAGGCTAGATGCTTTGTTTATTCTTCTAGATGTTGTAAATAAACGGACGGACAGACAGCAAGCTCCTATCTCTGGGTTGATGTATCTCCATTTTTTTTTCTGCTCGTGTGCGCCCGAGCAGAATACACTGAAAGTTTTAAACAACCCACTCCGGGTGTTCCATACAAGCGTTCAGGCAGATCTACAGCCGCCTGATTGCTTGTATGGTGCCAAAGACTGTGTGCCTCCTCCGCTGCCTCGCCTCCCCTTTTCCACCACCGCTGCCAGTTATCCTGGGCTCCGCTGTCCCCATGTGGGTTCAGGACCAGGACCAGAAAGGAGAAGAGATCAACATTCTTCCACTTGCTGATCTCTCATCCGATCTCTGAATGCAGAAATCATGTGTATTACATCACTAGCTGTCATTTATCTGGCTGCTTTAGCCAGAGAAGAAGCTGGTGAAGCAGATCTCTGCTTCATCATCTTTGGGGGTCCCTAGATGATATTGGGGGTCTTAGAGACCCCTGATGTCTCCATGAAGAGGACCTGTCATTGTACATTTGCTATCACAAAGGGGGCTTGTTATCCCTATGTGATAGCAATGAAGTTAAGTGTAAAAAAATAATAAATAACAAATAAAAAAAAAGTAAAAGACACCAAAATTTTGTTTCAAGTCCAACGCCCCCACATACACGTACATACCAATGTAAATACACCCCGGGTTCACCTACTGTAATGCTCTGGACTACAAATCCCAGAGACGTCAAGCTTATCTCATGGATGAGCCCAGCTGTAAAGCTTGGCAAAACTTTAATTTCTATTTGTTGTCTGTTCTTGCAGTAAACTTCAAGGAAACTGACCCAGTAGCATTAAAAGTACTTTACTTGGAGAAAATGCTGCGTGTACAAACTTAGTTACAGGAAAAGCAAACAAATACATCAACAAGACAGGCTGCTACAAACATTCACATGCACCCACTACACTATCTTCTAGTACATGTATGATTTCTAGGAGGGGAAACACTGAGAATTTACTTAGCTTAGGCTGCAGGCTCCAATAAATTCCGTGATGAGCAGGACTTGGCCTAGGAAGAATGGCTTCTCATTGCAGTATCCTTTGTATGTCCTGGTCTTGAAGCAAGTCCTCTCGTCTTGTGAAGCGCCCTCGTACTGTCCCCCTCCTGTGAAGCCCTGGTCTGGTGAAGTGCTGTGCTGGTGAACTGCTACTGGCTTTTTATTGAGAGAAAACTGGCCTAAAACTTTGGAAGCTATGCCCCTTTCACCTTTAGGAAAATGCAATACAATGCATTTCACGTACCCACCTCTAGGTGGCAGCGTTGTACCATAAATTGCCATCAGTAGTCAAGATTTGTATTTGAATCTTGACCAGGCTAGGCGTGACTATTTACGATCACCATCCCATTGTGATACAAATCAATACAGGACAAGCTACACCATTGTGTAAAACCAGTTTGGCCTGTATTGTATTGGCCCCATCCATTGTATGAACCAAGTTTCTATCAACAAACAAACAAAACCTCCGTCTCTATTGCAAATCTATGTGTGTCTGAAAAAGTCCACTAAGATATATCGCAACACACCTACGTGCGAAAACAACAATTACACCACACACATTGCATATCACTGCCAATGTCGGAGTGTGAGCAATAATTTTATGGCCATTAATCACTGATAACACTAAACTAATGAGCAGTAAAAGCTTTTAAAGCGTCGCCTATGGCCAATTTTGGGTATTGCAGTTTTTTTGTAATTTCGTGGACAGCCCCCTCTTTTATTTTCTTTTACCAAAAACATGGGTAATAATGTTTCCTAACATAATGTAGGTACAAAAAAAATGTGGGTACTTTTTTTGTTGTATAGTAAAAAATTAAAATCCCAGTGGTGATTAAATACCACCTAAAGAAAGCTCTATCTGTCCCCCAAAAAATGATCTAAATTAAGTTCAGTACAGCGTTGCATGACGGAATAAATGTCAAAGTACCGCAGCTCTGAATACTGAAAAATGGCCTGGCCAGGAAGGGGGTTTAACACCCCGGTCTTCAAGTGGTTAAAATAGTGCGTCTGTCCTTTGTCCATTGAAACGTCCATTGAATTAAATTCAATGGCCAATGAAATTTCAGCAAATAAATGCGTATTGCATTTACATGTGTTTTGGTTAATTTAAAAGTTACATAGTTACATAGTATTTGAGGTTGAATAAAGACATTAGTCCATCAAGTCCAACCAGTTCAAGTTCAAATCGATTCCTGGACGCACTTGACTTCTATTTTTTCTAAACTGACTGCAGATAAAACATCTAAGCGCAAAGTGTGAATAGATCCATTGGAAATCATTAGACGCATAGACATGTATTCAGAAAACCATTTTAAATGCATCTAATCGCACCATTGCCAGAAACATTTCTTACTGTGTTGGTGTATCTTATACAGGTATTCCTCACTTAACGACAGAGTTCCGTTCCTAGGACCAGGTCGTTAAACGAATTGGTCGTTAAGTGAGGAACTCTATACAGTATTGTTCTGCATTAGTACAGTACTGTATAGCGTTGCAGATGTACAGTACCGAACAGTGTACTGTACATTGGGCAATGAAAATACTTACCGGGACCCGCAGTGAAGATCGGAGGACGTCACTTCCGACACGTCGCACTGATGCTGACACGCGAGGTCGGAGGTCGCTCGGCGGTTTGTCGTAAGTACGAGTGGTCGCAAAGCAGGTAAGTCAGTAACCGAGGAACGTCTGTATGTCATCAGGCTATTCAGTTAGGAAAACAGTCCACCAATCACCATTGCACACTGATCTGACTACACAATACTTGAATCTGATTGGCAGTGCATGCACTTGTTCTTTACACTGCTTTAGGGAATATTTCTCTTCATGCTGTTTAACAAACTCTCTAGTTTGTATGTAGCATCAGAAACCCGTATTTTCTGTGGGCAAGATAAACATTATTTCACACCATGGCAGTTGTCTATGTAATATCTTAAAGTGTTTTTTTGGTTTTTTTTTTTTGTGGGGGGTATAGAGTCTATTTTTGGATAGAGAAGCGTTAAAAACTGTTTTAGGGCTTTTTTGCGGTTTATGTCTGCTTGAGGAGATTCACTTCCTGTCCCAGAAATAAGGAAAGGAGAGAGGAAATCTCTACACATAGAGGGAATACCTCCCAATAACAGGTGTCCTCATTGGAAGATTTCCTCTCACCTGTTGTTCTCATAACAACTGTAATCTTTTGGATTTCTCATCACTTTTCTGGCTTGGTGATAATGGTCACCAAGACAGATGGAGATGGTAACTCTTTCTGGTGGGAACACACACGGCAATAAACGCTTAACAGGAATTCAAATCCTCACCTACTATATTCAACATTTAAATACATTGCTTTTTCTATACATACACTTTAAGGGACAATGCTTATACATATTTGGTGTCTTTTTTACTTGTGTCTAGTGTCAATTTGTCACTGCAGTTTAGTCTGTGTGCACGTGTTCTCCTTCCTGGTATTTGGCCTAGTCAGATGTTGTAAAGCATACACTTTCTGCTCATGCTGTAACTTTTTTCCCTGTGGTCAGTCACTATAGGGGGTGTTAGTAACAATGTATCCATGTTGCCAGGTATGGAAGAGTAAATTATGTGTTAGCACGGCGCCTGGAGCTGCTGAAGGAAGTGGGGCGTCTGCAGGAGAGCCTGGGAGTCCCTGGAGATGTGTCCTATACCTGTGAGACTGCCGGCCATTTCTTTTTGTACCAGGTGAGTCACCTGTCTCATTCTTGTAGCCATGCTGACAGTTCCCAGTCTATACTAAAATAAAGCACAAAATGTGGCACATTAACAGGTCTATTCACTAAAGGGTGGAAAGTTTGGAGAAGGCAGGAGAAGTGAACACGAGTCTAGGACAACATAGCTGAACTGGAAAAAATCTCCAATTCAACTCACTTCTTCTGCCTTCTCCCAACTCTTCACCCTTTTGTGAATAATCCTGTAAGTGCAATTATTTAACCTGTAATTCCCTTCGCTTAAAAAAAACAGTGCTTCCGAGGTTTTCTGAACCCTGTCTGGTATATACAGAGAAAGAGAGAGCACAGGTTCTTCCTTCTTATACTCTTCCCCCTCATGCTCAGAAGTGAAGACATCCTGGCTCAGAAACTATTTTTAAGGACTGAGAAAAGACTGAAGGGATGATTCCTGGGGTTCATTGCTTTTGTTGACTGTTATACCATATCAGGTACATTACCTAAAGTAATATCGTAAGTAATATACCTAATATAATGCCTTGTGTCCCCTCCCAGACCTCCCTGCACCTATATAACCGTTCCCAAGTGGGGGAATGATTCAGAGTCAAAGAGGGCGAGCTTGTACTTCATGTTGGGATTTCAGGATCACAGACAAGATTTCAATGACTATTAATGAAAAATAACAAATAGACCTGTTAATGAAGCTCTATTGCTACTAAGGAATTTATAGATGGTTAATGAACCATCTACATCTGGTTAATGTGAGATTTCACAATGGCATTACTCTTGATTTGTCTTTGCAGATAATGTCACGGTGGGAGGCCTACCTGAGCAAAGTAAAAGCCAAACCTGCTCAAACTCCTGACGTGAGTGATATTGCCAAGCTATTCCCGTTCCAGCAGTACTTCTCCAATGCTCCTCAACCTATATTCAAAGGCCAAACCTATGAGGAAGACATGGAAATTGCAGAAGGATGTTTCCGGCACATTAGGAAGATATTTACTCAGCTCGAGGTAAGTGCTGCTTAAAACTGATGAGTTATTTTTTTCTTGGCCAACTTGTGGTCTTGTGCAAAAGAGAAACATGTTTATAAGATTTGAAACTCTGCATTGTCAGATGATCACTGTCATTTAACGGTGATCACTAGCTGACAATTGTCGTGTTTGCTGGGACAATGTCTGTTAGTACGAGGATGTTCATGGTAAGTATACAATGCATATGTATGTGTGCAGTCACTTCTGTAGATGCACACATAGTACTTGTGCATTATAAACAGGGGGAAATGGCAGGAATAGGTCTGTACTCTAATGATGGAATGCACGTCAGATTAAGGTGTTTATCTCTGTTTAATGGAGAACTATGGGGTTAGGGCTTTTCCCCATAGTTCTCCTAAGGGTAACGGGAGGACACAAACTAGCGTCCTCCCGTCACCCAAAGCTCAGTATAACGCGAGCTACAGCTTGCGGTATACTGAGATGCCGGAATGGATCCCGGCAATGCTGTCTAGATCCACCCAGCTGCGTGAGTGACAGCTGGCTCTGCCTATCTAGAGGCAGAGCCAGAATAAAGGGGTTATGTGGCTCTGGATATTTAGGATTACATTTAATAATGTTCAGTACTCAAGTGTTCTTTTTCCTTTCATGTAAAAGTGTGCCACAAGAATAGACCCGTGCTGTCACAGCAGCCTGATTCTTGTGTATTTTGAATATGCTGTGGTGTCAATACCAGTGTAGAGCAGGCATATACAATAGTTGTCTGCATATCCCTCCCACTCAGTCATACCAATGGTGACATTGGATCCAAACTGTGACCTCTGGCCTGACCCCTTTTTCCTCCCATGCCTTAATTTTGGCACAACTGCCCTTCACCTTGAGGGATCATTGGTAATAGGTTAAGCCATAATGCCACGTTCAGCGAGTGCAGTCATATGTTTTGGGGCTGATAGGGCACTTGTGAAGATATGTGCACACATCTCACTTACTCTGAAACATTAGCACATTGTAAATAAGCACAGGTGTACCTGAGAGAGCCAGTACATGTCGTTAAAAAGCCGCACACCTTCCCTTTTGCAGGAATTCCGAGCCTTCGAGTTGTTGCGTAGTGGACTGGATCGGTCAAAATACCTTCTTGTGAAGGAAGCCAAGATCATCGCCATGACTTGCACCCATGCAGCTCTGAAACGCCATGACCTAGTAGAGCTAGGGTTTAAGGTATTTTTACAAAGTGTTATTATGTCAGCCATAGAAAATGTCTTATGCATGCGGATTTTCAGTCACAATATTCCGTACCGAGTGTCCTAAAATTGCCTCATTTAGACATTTCTGGCACAGCTGATCGTATTAACAACAAGACAACTTTTTTATTTTGTTGTTGGCCCAGATTTTTTGCAGCTCCAGACGGTTTTGTACATCGTCTGCAGACGGTCACCTTGAAGTTGCCTTCCTATTCTTGCTGACGCTTGGTTCCTGTCTTTTCTCTGCAGTACGATAATATCCTGATGGAAGAAGCTGCTCAGATTCTTGAAATCGAGACCTTCATCCCCCTCCTACTGCAGGTACAGTACGGTGCTCTGACCTCTGCTCTTCAACTCCCATGAAAATAATAATAGTTCTCCGGAGAGATTCTACTCCACACTACTAAATATATTGCAATAGGTTTCCCGAGGTTAACCTTTTTATTGCCTATGGTGTCACAGAGCAGGATCAGGGCAAGCACTTGCAGTCATTTTATATATTTGATATTGGTATTTGTTTAACTCATTTATACCAAATCTTCTTAGATACTTCTTAGATACTTAATATACTTAATACTTAAACAGTAAGAACAATGCGCTTGTTTAACTTATAACAATCATTTGGCCAATTCCTGCATATATTTCAATGCTCAGAATCCAGAGGATGGCTTCAGCCGGTTGAAACGTTGGATCATGATTGGAGACCATCACCAGCTGCCACCTGTCATCAAGAATATGGCCTTTCAGAAATACTCCAACATGGAGCAGTCACTCTTCACTAGATTTGTGCGACTGGGAGTGCCAACTGTTGACCTTGATGCCCAAGGAAGAGCCAGAGCCAGGTAAGGTGATGGTGGCACACACTTGCTTCTGCTTTTATAATCTCATGTATGCAGGTGTATATCACCTTTTTTTTTTCTCTTTTTTTATCCAGCTTGTGCAATCTGTATAATTGGCGCTATAAGAGTCTAGGGAATCTACCTCATGTGCAGTTGCTACCAGAGTTTAGAGCTGCCAACTCTGGCTTGCTCTATGACTTCCAGCTTATAAATGTAGAAGATTTTAATGGAGTCGGAGAATCTGAACCCAACCCATACTTCTACCAGGTAATGTCATGGCTATATTCTGAAGCATGAATGCACTAACTGTGTCTTTTTAGTAAAGTTATAGTGATGCATTGCAACAAAGGCACAACTGATATCTTGTGTTTGCATAGCAGTAATCTATATTACAGCACAGAATGCATTCCTATCCAGGCTTTGTAAATGTCTTCAATTGCATTTTCCATTTTTTTCATTGTTCTATAAACTGTAGAATCTGGCTGAAGCAGAGTATGCGGTAGCTCTGTTTATGTATATGCGTCTGCTTGGATATCCTGCCAATCGGATCAGCATCCTAACCACATACAATGGACAGAAGCACCTGATCCGTGACATCATCAACCAGCGCTGCGGCCACAACCATGTTATAGGACAGCCGAGTAAGGTAAACTGTAAATCCGCACTTTTTTCTTTCTTTCTTTTTTCCAAGTTAAAAAAAAAAACAGCTTTTGTCTACATTACTTGCTGTGACTGTAATTCTCTGCATCAGGTTAGAGCTTTGCCCTCTAAAAACTAGATGTTGATATTTGCAGGTCACAACTGTGGATCGGTTCCAGGGACAACAGAATGACTATATCATCCTGTCACTTGTCAGAACCAAAGCTGTGGGTCACCTGAGGTAAGAGGTCTGCGGCAACAAATGTAAAATAGACGAGAAAGGCAATCCATTCCTTGCTTCCCTCTTTCCAGCCACACAGCTTTTATTGCTGGTATAAAACAGACACTTGCAAAGGTCCCTGAATTATGTTTGTTGCAGTCATAGAGTGGCTGCCGCATGGTAATGCCTGCTTTCTATGCATAGTTTTCATTGCATGTCAGATTACAAGGATGGTTGGCATTGCCACATATCACAGCACAATGCAAACCAGTTTTATATATTTTGTTGGACTGCATTTCCCAGCATAACAACTATGCTTAGAGTAGTAGTTTTAACAGATACAATTGTATGGGTGGAACAGATGGCTAGTACTGTTTAATAGTGCAGCCATTGTATTGACATTTAAGCTGCCTGTGGTGTGACGCGAGTACGGTACTGAGTGATTTTGAAGTGTTGAAACATAATTGTTTAGCAGAGCTTTGTAATATTCCAGATCCCAGCCACGGCACTGTGTATATTATTTGCTCCAGTCTGTTTATATGAAGTCAGTCTGGGAGCATTTACTGTGTGTCACAGGCTGGAACTGTTGTGATCAATCCTTTACCGCCCGTGCCATGGTGTGCCAGCAGTCCTGGGGAAACTGAGATTGTGCTTAACTAAAACGTTATAAGCACTCTTAAGGGACCTGGCCATAAACCTAACGATAAGACTGTTCAACATTGTGACTGTTTGAATTAAGAAACTATTTCTATTAAATTGCACTAAATGGACCAATTGATCTATAAATCCTATCCCATCTTATATAATCTTGAAGTTAAGTCTTCCATTTTGCCACTTGAGGATACGGCCTCCAGCAGTGACCGTTGTCTGCTGATCTCACATTCCCTAAGACTTCCAATGACAATGAACACCTTCTAGCACTTGACTCAGTCTCCATGATCCAACTCTGCTTAGTCATTCCCCTTTGCTCTTGCAACCTCTGGTAACTTCTCCACTACTATTACAGTTAAACTGCCTATTTACTTATTACCCCCGTGTTCCTGTACTAGTATCTGCCATTTCACATATGCTCCCTGCAGCAGTGGCCTGCCACCAGGCTCTAAAACCAACGTCAGTTGCTGATGCTGGCTTGTCACTGCTCAGCGCAACACCATCATTTACCTACTTTTGTGCTATTGCCCACCCACTCTTCACCATGAAGTTACTCAGCAGAGCTAGCATAGCAGCAATCACTGTGCACACCCAGGCTGCCAGTTAATGTGCTCCGATTGATCTGCACCACTCTGAAACTACAGGATTAGCCTCTTGCTTCTACCAGTGCTGGTCTTGGATTCTTAAAACTCCTAAGGCCACAAAGACTTTCATTTTGCACCAGCTTTTCCAACTATTTTTCCTTGGAGGTTGGAAGCACCCCGATGGGTTGTTTCGGCTCCCTAAACTCCCACTGGCTTTATATGCATTTTGTGAATTTTGTTCAGAAATGTTCTATTCCCAAGTTGGATCCAGCCATGTCTTTCCTTATCTGACTGATTGTAATACCTATAAAAAAAAAAAAACACTGTGCAGGGCGGCATGGTGGACATTCCCGGTGGCTTTGGGAATAAACACAGATTATAGACCATTGGCCTTGGGGGATACCTCCATTATAGGAGTTACCAGCAGTATCAAACAGGGATATCTCTTTTTTCGCTGTAAAAGGACTTCCATCCTGTTACTACTCCTACCATCTTGGGGTTTGGTCCTTATCTGATAGTCCTGGTGCTCTGGGTTGATCCGGTTGGATACACACGAGCTACCTTCGTGCTCGAGGAAGCGATGTGAGTGTGAAAGGCGTTAAGAGTACCAACTGCTCCTCTACCATCTTCAGAAGAGGCTGTTTGGACATATATGATTTTGAGAACCTTCCTTATTGATCATACTGATCATGTAATCTGTTATTCATTGCGTCTTATCATGTTACATTGGAGTAGTTGTCGGTGGCACTGACAATATTTTACTAATCTATTACCATCCTCTGAAGGGGGTGTTTTGTTTTGTTTGAATTACATATTCTTATGAATTGTTCAATTATGTCTTATATGATCACTATGGCTCAATCATGATAGGTTGGAGTGGTTTCATTGGAGGTATTTTGTTACTAGGATGATGTTAGCATGCATATATCATTTTTATGGTTTTTAAACTTTTGTACATAATAAAGATTTTTTGTTATTAAGCACGTTGTAATCTCTTGGCTCTGTCACCTGGTGCCCTAAAAGCCCCATTTACCAATTTTTTTTATTTACTCGCCATGAAATTCTTTTTTTTTTTATTTCTTTCTGGGACACAGGTTCCTCCTCTCTCTTTATGATCATGCTCTTGCTACAAAATGGAGGCATACTGGTAGTAGAAGAGGTTATCCTGGACTGGCCTACATTTTTTATTTGTTTGCCAGTGTCCCAATTTTCCTGTAGTCGTCAGAATAACCCAAAGGTTTAAGTCCTCTTGTGTCCCACACTGGATTTCAAGAAAAGGATTTTACAGTGAGTGCAAAAATCCTAATATTTCTCTGAGAACAATCTGTAACTTGCGCTGTCTCTTCATTCTTCTAGGGATGTCAGACGGTTAGTGGTAGCAATGTCCAGAGCCCGGCTCGGACTGTACATATTTGCTCGAGTCTCCCTCTTCCAGAACTGCTTTGAATTGACCCCTGCATTCAGTCAGCTTACTGCTCGTCCACTGCGACTGCACATTTTACCTGGTGAATCTTTCCCGACACAGAGGATGGTAAGTCACTTCTATATTTTATATATTCAAATGCAACTCTGTGGACATAGTGTGATTTAACACCATGTCCATTGAGCTACATTTTTCGACACACCTCCGCACATGTATGTTGTGAACACGTGCGGTGGTGTGCAGAAAAACTCAGCTCAACAGACGTGGTGTGAACAAGCCCAGACACTACAAATAAGACCTAAAGGGCCCATTCACACTATTACACAGTAGCTGGTATGTGGTGCCTGGTACAGTGCTGATGCGCCAAATCCGGCACATCTCACTTTGATGGCTTGCTGGAAGCAACCCGTCTTATCTCTTTCAGTGTTTCCAGTCAATGAATATGCATAGGGCATTTTTGGCTAAAGTTCTTGATTGAGGAACCTCATGGCAAGATGAGTTTGATCTACATGGATTTATTGTGACACTAAAAAAAAATTATTGGACAGTATGAATAAAAAATTAAATAAAACTTTAATAATAATAGCACGAGGGGAAGAGTTTATTTGGAGTTATTTGTGCTGATTAGGGGTAACTACGTGTTTCTGTGGGGCTAAATGAAAACAAATGTTATTTAAAAATGAGTGAAACAGTAAATACAAAGTAAACATAATGTTACGTTGTATTTCTGAAGAGTGTTTCAAAGTTACATTTTTGAAATCAGTAGCTGCAGCCGCATCTCTCGGCAATTTCCGGCTGTTGTTTTGACAGCCCATTGGCGATAACAGGGATGTGTGTGTTCGATAAAGTTTTTTGGGCAGTATGTAGCCTGCTCAGGGTTCACAACTAGTTAAATACAATTGGGGACATTTATCAAAACTGGAGCAGAGGAATCGGGAGCAGTTGCCCATAGTAACCAATCAGGTTCAGATAGGCTTTTAAAATAAAAAAGAGAAGCCGATTGCAATGCACAACCGCTTCAGATTCTGTCTACTCCAGTTTTGATAAATTCCCCTCATTGTCTCATTTCATAGTTTTTATATTGTGTATTAGGCAGTATTTTAATGTAATGTCCAGACTTCTGCTGAATTGGTTTCTCCAGTGATGGTAGAAAAATAGTGACAACAAGGAAAATATTTTTTAAGCCAGTGATATACTAAGCTTGCATTTCTTTGAGTTGTTTTTTTCTTCCATTAAAGCTGCTGGATCAGCAAACAGACACATTTCATAAGTAGATAGATATGCAGTACAATGCCAGAGATCTGACTGTTGTAAGAAGGCCAGGCTAACACTGTGTGTTCTACTTTGCAGAATGGTGAGATGCCACATTACCCAGCCCAGGTTATTAAGAACATGCCAGAGATGGCCATGTTTGTGTATGATATGTATATGCACATGATGCGCTCCAGTCAGCAGTACCAGTACCGCCAAGTAAGTTGCGATGCATTATCCTTTTGCATACCTCACATACTTTTCTTATAAGATTGTATACAAAGTCTCTTATATAATGACACATTTCTGTCTACAAGATGAAAATAACTAATAAGTAAGCATATACATGTGTTAAAGTGACATAAACTCAGGCGTTAAACCTTCCAAATGCATTCAAGTCCCTTAACTATTATATATTTAGGGTGTATTCTCATGTATTGCAGGGAATTCTTTTGGCTGAAGTTATGTAACACACCTATGCTAACTAGGTTTTTATTGTGTAAGTTTATTGACCAGTTGACCATCCTGTTTTGTTGATTGTACACAATGGAACAGCTGTAGGGAATTTTGTCAAAACCTGTTTAGTTAACTAACATCAAAGGGGTAATTAGACCAGCCAATCAGAAACCCTTTCCGTGTTAGTGAATGGCACTAAACTCTATATGAATTCAGAGTCTAAAGTGGCTGGGAAAAGATGAGTCATGAAGGGAGGCACATATATAGATTGGAAATATATGCTGGGTGGAGTGGGTCCTTATGGAACCTTTGTCATCTAAGGTCTAGATATTTTATTCTTATTCTGTCGGACTGTTTCTGTTCATCTGTTACTTCGATCCAATTAAACGCTACTCTCTGGAAAAGAACTGAGGTTGCCTGGATATTTTCTGAAGATCCAATTTTCACAACGCACATAAATATATATATTTGGGTATTTACATATTTATACACCCGACTATTTTATCACTACCTGTGTGTGTTATATAGTAGTCACTGCTCCAAGCTCCCTCCTGTGATGGACTACAATCTCAATACAAATGAGATAACTAAACATGAGATTGTAGTCCATCTTGGTCATGAGCATGGAGCGGTGGCTACTTTACAACACACACACACACACACACACACACACACACACACACACACACTAGCCAACCTCCAGAAGGAAGGACAGTGTCAGCATAATTTCAGAGATGATTTGAGGATCTACAGTGATACATAAATAAGATACATTTTTGTTAATAGTTAAGATACTTGAATGCATTTTTAACATTTATCTCCTGAGTTTAGTGTCACTTTGAGGCTGGGTTCACACCTGGGCGTGCCATAGGCGCGTTTTTTAGCACGTTTTTTCGTTCAGTGAATTGCGCGTTCAACGCTCGTTTTTATACCTCCCTGGCGGTATGATTTTTTCCCCCTTTATTTTCTCTTTTTTGGGTTTTGTTTTTTTTTTAAACTTTCAAACTTCCCGCCTGTTGCGCCCCCCTGCGACGCGGCCACTCTCAAGGGACGGAAGTCGGCAGCGGCCGGAGGACACAGCGGGGAACGCGAACAAGGTAAGTCCTACGCTGTATTCCCGAGTGTTGCATCGGGGTTACCGCTTTGTTAACCCCAAGCTACACTCGGGAATACCAATGGATACCCGCGGAAAAACGCCACAAAGAAGCTCCTGTACTTGTTTGGGCGTAGGGCGTTTTTCAGTGCGTTTCCACGGGCTGAAATACGCCCAGGTGGGAACCATGCTTATAGGGATTCATGGGATTTCACTTGCTGAGAGTTTTTCAGCGCTTTGATCAGCGCTGAAAAACGCCCAGGTGTGAACCAGGCCTAAAGGCAGGGCCATACCTCCAGTGTGCCAATTGAAGTGACCACCTCAGGCAGCACTTATGGAGACAGAGAGGGGGCAGCACTGGGGCCGCAGTGTCAGCAGTGTATATTTCACCGTACATTAACATTCACCTGCAGAAAATGACCTCCACCTGACTGCACACAGAGAGAGTTAATGTGCCTGAAGCCTGACATTGGAGACAAGCCTCTAAAGTCTGTGAGACCAAGTTAACACCAGTTTTAACCTTTTTATCTTAAAATGGGCTTACAGGTGCAGTCCAGTGTGCTTTTTTGGTGCATTCCAGACCAGAGAAAATGAGACAAGCAGTATTTTTTTTTTTTAGTCTGTCCTGGGACGAACTGCGCTGGTGTGAATAGAGCCCAGAAATACCATAGGGATTCGTTGGGATCCTTTTTTAGTCTGAGAACAAACTGTTCTGGTCTGGATACGGTATAAACAAGCGCTTGATGTGTGTTCAGCTTTTGTGCATATGATTATGTGGACAATTGCAAGATACATTTGATTGCTGATGTGCCAGAAAATGAAGTTTTCGTTTGTTTCTCCTTCACTTCTAACAAAGTCTTCATCCTTCATACCCAGCCATATTAATGCAGAAAGTGAGGCAGTGCTGAGCAGAGATGCTTGGACTGCAGGAAGTCACTTGTGTTGTAGTAGGAATGGGGGGCAGATAAGACTGGGGTCAGGAGGTGAGAATCTTGTCTCTGCAGTGTTTAACATGATGCTGTCGCCTCATTTTATTGAGGTTCCGGGCTTTATATGACTGCACCAGTACGCTGTTTGATGCAGTAAGGATTATATGTGTGTAAAGGAAGACCGATAGAAAGCAGCGGGAGTTCCCCTCCTGTTCTTGGCCGTCTCCCAACACTTCAGCACTAAATCTTTCCGCAGAGTCTTGGAAGTCGTTACACAGCAGTCTGAATGTGCTGTGGGTGCACTAATTCTAATGATTGTGTGCAGCTGAGAATGGAAAATGTTTGTGTCTTCCCAGGGAAATCCAACATTACTGTTTCAAATCAGCTAATGTACCAGAGGATATATTCCAATGCTGCTTAACCCTTCTCCTGACAGTTTCCTGTATTGTGTACACATGGTATCTGGCTGTGCTGCCACTCTGATAAATGATAGAATGGCACCATTCCATAAGCAGGCCATGCTGTATATACAGAGAATTAATGGGCACATTGTCCTGCCAGCCTTATTATTAAAGATGAATGATCACATTCTATTAAGATAAAATCATTGTTTTCTTCCCAGACATTTTTCAGTTTACACACACACACACACACACACACACACACACACACACAAACCGGTAAGTCTACATCTCCCTGTTACTGATGTACTTTTTCAGTTTACACACACACACACACACACACACACAAATACCGGTAAGTCTACATCTCCCTGTTACTGATGTACTACTGCATTTGCAAGACTCCACACACCCCGTCAATCCTTTATAAGAGAAATCATAGCATTAGGGGCTGACATCTTGGCTGTCTTTTTATAGTAATTGATATTCTTTAAAATGACAGCTTTGTTACGTAACAAGTTAAAGGAGAAGTACCTGTTTTATTATGTTGGTGTACACAGCTGTCAGAGCTAGAAGGAAGTCCATTGCTTCCAGGGAAAATGGCGTGCATGCAGAGCAGTTAGGGATGAGTTTGATATGCATTCTTATTGGCTTGTGTAGATGAATAACTGCAAAATAGCACAATGGATGGCACATCCAACAATACACGCAGCTGTATAACACTCCATAAGATTCAGAATTCGTACTTCATTCCACATCTGTCATACAGTAACGTCAGCTGCAAAACACAAATGACAGTGCACACTAAGCTGCACTGGAAAAATAACCGCTTAAATCTGATTGGTTACTGATACACAGGGGGGGAATTTATCATAGCAATTGGCAGTGCTTGAACTCTCATATTGCCACATGGGACATATGTGCACCAGATTTATGTTGCTAGTGTAATGTTGTTAATAAATGAGATAAAATAGACTCCAGGAAAGAAGACTCACAACTCCAGGCAAAAAGCTTAGCTGTCTCTTCGTGAAGCAGTGGTCACGGGGATTTGTTTTGTTAGGTGATGCTCCATTCACATATAGCGTTTGCGTTTCCCACGCCGAAGACCGCACAGGACACAAGCGCGATATGTGAAACAACTGCACGGATTCTGCACGTTTGCGGCTATTGCCACATTATCGCGCTTGCACTATTTTGGGGGACGCGCAGTTTCGTACCATGCAGTCCCTGAAATAGTCTGAACAATGCACATAAAATTGCATTGTTTTTATCTGTAGACCGCACTGGGGAAGCGCAGACCGCTTCCCCAGTGTGAATGGAGCCTCAGATAGCCACAGGACAAGCGCAGTTGTGCACTTTTGCTTTACTTTTTTTGGGGGAAAAAAGCGCAAGCTCTGTTCAAAATAAGCACACGTGTTAAATGAAGCGGCTAAACAGATTTGCACATTAAAAATAATAATCTAAGAGGATAAAGCAGTCGCAAATTCCACCCAATGTATATAGATATACAGGTGAAACTCGAATAATTAGAATATCGTGCAAAGTTCATTTATTTCACTAATGCAACTTAAAAGGTGAAACTAATATATGAGATAGACTCATTACATGCAAAGCAAGATAATTCAAGCCGTGATTTGTCATAATTGTGATGATTATGGCTTACAGCTCATGAAAACCCCAAGAACTCCAAATCCACAACCTCAAAAAAGTAGATGATTACATGCAATCAATAAAACAAGGATTGTACATAGAACAATATCGGACCTCTGAAAAGTACAAGCATTCATATGTACTCAGTACTTGGTTTGGGCCCCTTTTGCAGCACTTTCTGCAATTACTTTTGCACGATATTCTAATTATTCGAGTTTCACCTGTATATATGAAAGAGAGAAGCGTTGCCATGAACAGCTGCTCCAGATTTTGATAAATTCCCCTTTGTGTCTCTTCAATACATTTGCTCAAAAAAGAAGTATCTGCAAAGCAAGTAAATACTGACCTCTCCTGCTGCACTGCAGGGAAATCGCTGGATGCAGTCTAATCAAAATAACCAACAATTCTGGAAATATTGATCTTCTGTGTGTCCCCCCCCCCCCTGCTCTAAGTCTCCATTCACACCTAGGTGCTTCGTCACTCAAAGGTAAGCGCATCATAACGCTCAAGACAAGGCATCCCATTCCCTTCTATGGCCTCTGTTCACATCTGAGTGTTTGGTCGCACAAAGTTCACCATTGACCTTTATGGGACCAGAAAGCACTGTGATCTGCCAAAATGTTGCTCATGTACTTTTTCAAGCAACAGGCATTATCCTGCTTGCAACAAAATGCTCAGATGTGAACAGGGGCCATAGAAATGAATGGGATTCCTTGCCTTGAGCATTTTAGAATTGAGCGACAGAATGCCTAGATGTGAATGGAGCCTTCGTGGTTCCTCCCGCTGCCCCCCATGTCACTATTGTGTTCTATAGTAACGTACAGGTTGGCGTTGCATACGCTTTACTCTCAAAATCGCAATAAGGTTGTAATTGGTATACGTCTCAGAAGGTTTCCTCTAGACCCAATGCTGGATGGTGCCCTCCTCATGATGGACACAAAGTAGAATAAACAAACACAGATATTTCAAATCAGTACATTTCTCTTTCCACAACTCACTGATTGATATCTGTACACTAATTTTCAGCTACTTTGTAATTCAGCATGGATATAGAAACATGATTTGTTGTACATAATCCTTTTGTATGCTTGTGTATTAGCAGAGTCTTTTGCCACCACCTACTTCCACAAAGGGAATCAACTTTGTCCCATCTCATGATGAGGAGATGGAAGTGGAAGAGCAGATGTCACAAGGGACTGATGGAGGGGAGATGGTGACACAAGAAAAAGAAACCGAATTGCCCACAGACACTGTGAAGAGAGCAGAGGCTGGATTAGGCAGAAGCTCTGCTGAGGCTGACAAGGATGTGAAAGAAGCCACTGAGAAGACATCAGCTGATGATACCAAGAAAGCACAAGAAGTGCAGAAAGCAGAGGTGCAGCCCAAACACGACATGGGAGAGAAACAGTCAGATTTACAAGACAAAGTACCTGAGCCAGGATCTGTGGAGCCAGTGCCCCAAACAGAGCTGGATTCAATGGAAACTGAAGGAGCAACTGGCCAAGTGGACAATGATAATAGTCTACCCACAGAGGAGGATGTGGAACATCAGAAGATGCCGGATCATCCTGGAAGAGACAGTGACAGTGAATACAGTGAGAATGAGGGGGCAGAGGACTAGTTTAGCATGATAACATTCCTGCCAAAGAATATTTGAATTTAGCAGGGCAGCTAAAATATGACCCGTGGGAAGAATGGCCCATGTACATCTTTACTATGAGAACAGGATAGCTGGAGCCGCACTGATATTCAGGTTTATTCTATATAAACGGCATTATTTACTGTTATATTCTGTCCCCATTTATAGTCAAGAAAAACAGCAGCTTTTCCACAGAGTATAATTAGCAGGGAAAGACAATGGTTACTTGTCGGAGTGCTGTAGGATTTCTTGGTATGTGGATTGTATCCTCATACTCCCAGCTTATGAATGAGAAGTACAACACACAGAATACCAATGTGTCAGGAGAGGATACTGAACCTCACTGCGCCATGGTCTCTCCCAAAGAAATAATGTAAAAGAGTCATTAGATAGAGAATCCTTGAATGTCTCAGGAAATGGGGGAGGTTTTTGTGAATCACAGTGAATTTCTTGAGGTCCACCCAGATGATGGAAACAATTTTTGTAAACTTTATTTTTTATTAAAAATAAGTAAAAAGTTGTTTGTTTTGAAATGGGGTGAATCGGGGGCGACTGCAGCATTTGGTGGGTACACACCTACTTATTCTTTAAAGGTTGTGGAAGAAACAGGGAGGTTGCTGTTGCGGGATGTTCTTTGGAATATGCTAGTTAGCTGCTGGCTTCAGTCCTTCGAGTTACAAACCTGGAATAAGTATAGGGATCATCAGAGTGCTTGACTTTCCTGCTCTGCATGCTTGCTCTAATTCAAAAAGTATAGAAGCTAGTGTGTCGGCATAACAGCCAGGCAAATGGCATGTTCAAGGGAAGGATGACAATGGCAGACCTCATATTTTTCTTACAACAGGGTGACATGGAAGACATCCTGTACTTAGGAAGTATGGAGACTGGCAATGCAAGTTGTCTGGCTGCCATACTGAATCAGTTGTTTCAGGACTGAGCCACTGACCTGAAACAATTATGTTGATCGGGAGTTCTAGCTTTCCTGTCAGCATGCTTGTCCCGTTATTGAAGCCACTGGATCAGCCTGAAACCTAGGGGACAGGTGTTTTCAGGAGGAGATAAGCAGTGGCAGCCTCTATTTCTGTAACATACAACCTGTATTAAATGTGGTTACCACTGTTTAGTTATGATTGTCACACTGAAACTATTAAAGGAGAACTATGAGGTCAGGGCTTTTCCCCATAGTTCTCCTAAGGGTCACGGGAGAACACAAACTAGCATTCTCCCGTCACCCTAAGGTCAGTATACCGCGAGCTACAGCTCGTGGTATACTGAGACCGCCGCAGCCAGAACATTACTGTTGAGATCCACCCAGCTGTGTGATTGACAGCTGGCTCTGCCTATCTAGAAGCAGAGCCAGCTTTACCCGCCCCTGTCCGTTCAGCCTGTCAGCGCTGGAGGATCAGGTGGGGGAATCCCTGCACGGAGCCGTGAGTGACAGTCACGGCTCTCTGCAGGGATAGATCGAGAAGTGAGCGAGCGACGGTATGTATTCTCTCACTTCCCGATCTACTGAGCCGACCTGTGACAGTTTCATTGTCACAGGTCGGCTCAGATTATGAAGCTGAGTGAAAATCACTTGCCTCATAATTCTCCTTTAAGCTACAAACTTCTATAGCATGCATGATTACGATACAGAAATATTAAAGACAGGTCACCCCTGGAGTGGTCAGATAAGAGCTCCACACACCAGGGTTATACCAGGCTCTAGATCACATTGTATCCTTTGCTCAGCCTTAATTGCATATTTACGAATGAGGTGATTTTCTTCATCCTTTGTGGTCAGGAAGTATGCTGCTCCAAAAATAGGTCTGACCACACTACTAGTCAATGTTCATTCCTGAAGATGTATATAAAGTATTCAGCTGTAGTGTTAAAGTGAAACTCCAAATTTTGTCAAGGAACAATACACAATCTTTCTCGGGTAGGCTGTATGCATTGCAAGGATCTTCTGAAAAAGTTATTCCAGATCTTTTTGTGCTTCCATTCTGAAGGTGCCTTGCCAGTACTCCCTACTATGGGGAAGGGTCTGCCTTCACTCTAATCATACAATCTCTTTCAATCGATCCTGTCATATACAAATGTGGATTTTTGTATTACCTGTAAAATCTATTTCTTTGAGTACCCCACAGGACAAAGGAAGTAAATTCTTTAACCACTGGGTTATGCAGCTTCCATCAGGGGATTGGACACTAGCTAATGAATCAAAGCTGCATAACCCCTTCCCACTGCCAGCCTGCCTTTGTTTTGTAGCAAGCACTACAGAGGGGAGGGTCCTGTGTTTTATGATGTACTCCTGTACTCCAAGAGACGGATTTTACAGGTAAGACCAAAAAAAAAAAAAAAAAGAGGCAGTTCAGTTCTTTAACCATTAGGACATTCAAATGAAGTCCAACAGAGGGCTGGCAACACAGCAAACAGTGGCAACAGTTCCAAGGAACAACAACCCCAACAGGCAACTAGATACGGAGGCATTACCAAAGTAATAGGGCATTTGGAAAGACTTTATGGCAAGAACTAGCATCTACAGAGGCCTGGATGTCTACCCAGTATAACTTGACAAACGTCCGAGCAGAGGACTTGGTGAAATTTCAGTAACTGTGCTTCTTGGGCTTTCCAGCATCAAGCTTCAAACACTTTTAGTGAAGTATGCAGTGACCAAAAACAAGGAACTTTCCCCTTCAGCTAATAGGTTTGATATTGTGTGACAAATCCACCTTGCAATAATGGAGCGAGCGGGGAGTGAATAGAAGCTGTTGTAGAAGGGTAAATCTTAACGGCCCTGAACCACATCCATAACAGTGGAGGGAAATTTCTCTAGGAAGTTGTGGTGCAGGACACAAAGAACATAAAACTATATCCTGGTTAAGATGAAAGCTAAGAGACCACCTTAGGAAGAAAGAAGGCATTAAGCCTTAGCACAACCTTGTGAATGGCTAGAAAAGGCTCCTTTAACGTGATTAGAAAGGCCATTTTGTGAGTGGACTGCTCAGAAATATCTCTCTGCCTTTACTCACTCAAAGGCCTGACAGAAACAACAATGTCAACAAGGCATGTACAGGGGCAACAATAGGGGTAGCCCCTTCATTAGGGAGTAAGGGGGAAGAAGCCTCTGGAAGAGAATCACTAAGGCAGATATCTGACCCTTATAGTGATCAAGGCTAAACACTGGTCCAGGCCAGATAGGAGAAAGGATAAAATGCATCTTGCACAGTGTTTTCTAGGATGGAACTTCCTGCCTCTACACCAAGCAAAACTTTCCAGGTGCAAGGGTAAACCTTGTGGGAGGTCAATTTCCTAGCATTAAGGAATGTAGGGGATGACCCCATAATCCAAAATGCCTCAGTCAAGCTGTTGAAGCCCAAGTCCTGAAGGACAATGTCCACATACCATGCTCTCCTGTGCCAGTAAGGCGCAATGAGGATCACCAGACTGATTTCCATGTAAATCCTGTGAAGGAGAGGAGCCAAGAGTTCGAAAAACCTCCAGATGAAGGGACCATTCTGCGAGTTCTAGACATTGACAACTAAGGTGGTCCACTTGCCAATTTTCCACACATGGCATGTGCACGGCAGACAGCGCCAAAACATGAAGTTCCGTTACAGCTAGAAACAGCTCTGCTTCTCTCTGAGCTCTGTGGCTTCTGGTGCCTCCCTGATGGTTGATGTAAGGCACAGTCATGGTGGTCTGACTGAATTGTGGTAAGATTATCCTGCCACTGGGTGGTCCAGTGTTCAAGAGACAACCAAATCACCCTGCACTGTTTATCAGGAGCCATTATTCCTCTGACAACCAGGTCCCTGAACCAAGAGGCTCTGCAGACTTACGCCCCAGCCCGAAAAGGCTGGCATCTATCGTGAGCACTTTCTAAGTCATTGGAAGAAAGGATTTTCCTGACTTCAAAGCGGGGTTGAATATTCACTACGCTAGGACAACCTTTCACTTACTGGACAGGCACAAGTTAGTGGCCTGGAGGGAAACTGGGAATAGGGAATTGCCTCAAAGGAGGCTACCATCAGGCCCACAAACCTTCATGCAAAAGAATTTGTTTTAACAGCTCCTGGGCCCTGAGGTCCAAGCATGAGAGTGGAGAGACAGAAGCTTCTCTGGGTGAAAGCATAGATGTTCACAGATGGGGTAGAACACTCACCTGCACAGTTATCAGGTTGCGTAGTCCCCCAATCAGGCACTTCAACGTCTATCATCTGCCATGTATGCCCCAGCAACTGCACAACCTTAGGATAAGAAGGTGCCTCACTTGCACACAGAGGTTTACCCAGGCTTGAGCAGTGCAGCTTTCCCCCCTTCTCTGTGACTGTGCAGAGTTGCAGCTCGCGTTCAGTCAGAGCTCGCAACACAGAAAGAGAGCGCACAATCACACAGGCGCAATCCATGGCCCCTGGACCTAAAGGGAACTAAGCTGTCACCTCTTTTACCTTTTTGGGGATGGACAGCAAAAAGTGACAAGCGTCATACCAGAGCTGCAACTTTAACCCTATAGGGTACTGGGGCTACCACCTGCTTACTTGGGAGGGCATGGCTGCGGCTTACCTGAACGGCTTTTCATCCTTATCATGGATTCAGCAGCAGTCAGATGAGGCATGCCATCCAAGCTTTTACTGCCAGGCGGGCATAACTTGCTAAGGGGTTCTTCTGGGTCAGTGGGCCAGGACCCTGGACCTATAGAGCACCCTGCAGCAAACCACTCTTAGGCTCCATTCAGACGAGTGGTTTTCCACGTGTATTCACGCCTATAAATACGCACAGAAACATGCTAAACAGAAAAATTGATGCATTGCAATGTGCATTGTTCAGACTAGTGCAGCGTCTGCACGGTACGAAACCGCACGTCCTGCAAAATATTCCAAGCGCAATTTTATGGATGGATGCAGTAAACGGGCGGAATCCGCATGGAATTTCGCCAAGGCGAAAGTGGGAAAACAAGCTGGGTAGCTGCCTGAGGTGAGGCAGTGGCATTTAGGGTAAGAGTCTTGTAGAAAAAAAAGGGTGTATTTCTCTTAAAGCAGAGAAGACATCTGTCACCTAAG